AAAGATAATAATTTTTTGAAATTGTTTATATAGAACACAATTTTTTTATTAATAAATAATTTTAAATAATTTCCTAAAAAAATTAGGTTAGAAAGGGTTTAAAAACAATTAAATTTAATTAAAACAGAACTGGGGCGGCAGTGGCGGCTGTCAGGCATGCGTTGGATTGGTTCTGCAGACCGCGAGCAATCATTTGCAATTGATTGAGTCTCCGCGCAATCACTGCAAATGATTTCAAAGGCGGCGCGGTCGAATCTGTGGTTATTTCACCACGTCAGCACAACGGCGGAACCATTAGATCGTTTGTTGTTTGGATCAGCGGCTCCAATTGAGCCGGACGAAACAAACGACCGCGGGAACAATTCCGCGATCAGAACGAAATCACGAAACGACGGGATCTCCGTCATTGATCAAATGATCAACGGTGGAGATCTCGTACACTCGAGATTAGGGCAAAACATAGACCCTTAGGTGTTTTTTCTTTCGTTCTCTCAAATGGCTTATCCAAACGCAACGAAATTTTAAACATAAGTAATATGAGTAAAGAGCATTCGTGGGGGATCATTTTCGCTGTCTAAAACACGATGTATAGAAAGTTATATAACCCTAAGTGTGGTGACCTAGATCTAGGGTTTTCAAGTGATTATACCGTTGGATCATCAAGGATTCGATTTCTCTGAGCTTGTAGATTGTCCACGTATCTCGTCCTCTCAAAATCGTGGTTTGGAACGCGCCAAATCAAGCTATGTAGGAGCTTGGATGAATAAGGCTTGACCTCGCCAGAAGCTCGCCGCCGGCAGGTGTTTGACGGTGGATCTAGGTTGGGAAAGGTGAAGGAAGTTTAGGATAGCTCACACACGAGAGTTCTCGGGTTAGGAGGCTCTAGGGTGAAAGCAAAAAGCAAGAGACCCTTCTAAGAACTCCAGAAGCCATTGACAGCTGCATAAATCACTACAATTTGTTTTTCAATTGGAAGTGGTGAATATTGTGGTTGTTTGGGCACTTCTGTCAGCCTCGCACCTCTATTGGGTAATGCCTGAGTCGCAGCATCAAGGTCTGACCCAAATTGAGCGAAGGCGGCCACTTCGCGATATTGTGCCAATTCTAGTTTTGAACTACCGCGGACTTGTTTCATAGCTCTCAATTGAGCGGCAGACCCGACGCGACTGACAGATAAGCCAACGTTAATAGGAGGTCTAATTCCACGATAAAAGAGCTCTGTTTCCGAACAGATTTGTCCATCTAAAGAGGGTATTTAAAGGATTAGAGCCAAGAATGAACAGCCTAGATCTATTCTAGGGCTTTTTTTTTTTTTTTTGAAGGAAAATGCCTCAATTAGCATTGAAGAAAAGAAGAAATTATTACAAAGTAAAAGGCTCGAACTATTGATTCCTCCTTTAATATAGACATAAATAAAGGAGAAATCTTATTGAGACTAACATCATCCCAAATAAAAGAAGACAAGATACCATAGTTAGCACATAAGTCCGCTAACTTATTACAATTTCTATCAACACAATTGAAGATAACGTTATTAAATTCATCAAAAATATGAATATTTGCATACCTTGTTTCACCATTCTTCTTGACTTCCTTCAAGAGCATTATGATATTGATATTATCACCTTCTATGATGATTCCCTTGTATTTAAAGATCCAATCCTTTAGCATCTCCTTTATATATTGAGTGGCCAAAAATTCCAAAGCCGATATGTCCCAATGAGTGTACGGTTTTCCAAATGCTAGAAGAAATCTTCCTTTATGATCACAAAACACTCCTCCAATTCCGGCTTTGTATGAAGGAAGTAATGAAGCATCTACATTGACTTTGAGCCAATCGGGTGGAGGGGGATGCCAATGAGGATTAGACAACCTATAAGGTTGGTTGACATCCCATATACCCGAGATACTATGATTCCCAAGATTTACGAATGAAGCAAAACCAATTGCTTTGGAAGCAATGCTAAGAGAGCTATCCTCTTTCCCATTATGAATGAAGCTATTCCTTGATTTCCAAGTAAAATATAGCACCGAGCAATAGAGATTGATCATGAATGGAGATTGAGAAGACAAATGATTACAGCAGTCTTGTATAGAATGGAAATCATAAAAAACAAATCCCCATTCCTTAATCTGTTTCAGAACTTCCTTCAGTTTATCACAATTAGCTACAATATGATCTCTATCTTCTATTGCATTGCAGCTCCTTGGACATTGATTATCCCTAATTAATCTCCTGTGTTCAAGAAAGTCAAAAGTGGGAAGAGCATTGTTGAAAATTCTCCACGAAGGGATTCCACTTTTGGGTTTAGTCTTGCTTTCTTCAACCATTTCCATAATTCTTTCGGTTCATCATGTTTAACCGATAATTCATAGACCATAGAAGATATAGATTTTCCATTGTATTTAAACAACAATTCCATACAATCTTTACTTGAACTGTTTGGGACAATGTTTTATAGTATAAGATTGATCAAGTCTTCTCCCAAGAAACTTTTCATGTTTTCTACATCTCAGGTTCCATTAAGTAGAAAATTTGAAACAGTGAAACTGCTGCAGTCAATAGGAGCAATGAAGGTTGGTCATTCAGTAATACTCTTATCCAAAATCCATACATCATTAACCGCATCAATGTCTGATCCATTGCCCAGCTTCCATCTAATGAAAGGCCTTATAGCTTTGCCACCCGATCTGAGGATTTTCCATGAGGGTGATCCCGAATTTTTGCTGTTCAGATTTTCCAGCAACTTCCCGTATTTAGTAAAAAATACTTTATGGATAAAAGATTCTTTATCATTCAAGTATTTCCAAGAAATTCTTGATTTAGGGTTTAGGGTTTAGGGTTTAGTGTTTAGGGTTTAGGGTTTAGGATTTTTTAGGATTTAGAGTTTAGGGTTTAGGGTTTAGGGTTTAGGGTTTAGGGTTTAGTAGAACAAGAGTGAAGTGATCTACCTCCCCATTTGATAGGTAAGCACATGGTTTGCCAATTAACATAATGAATGTCATTCCTACCATTTGATTTGTTCCACAAAAAACTTATACAAATTTTATCTACTTCATCAAGAATACTTTTGGGAACAAGGGAGTTAGTACAATGGAAGGTAGTGTATGAAAGCAAGACAGATTTTGTTAATAAAATTCTCCCATCCAGAGAAATAAGTCTTTCACCCCAAGTGTTTGTCATTCTCAATGCTTTATCAATAATGAAATTGAAATCATCTTTGACTAACCTTCTCATTGCAAGCCTTACTCCAAGATAAGAAATCTGATTTGCTTGATTGAACCCCATTATTCGGCCAATAGATCTCCTCCTCCTAACATTTTTGCTGAACATTATAGAAGATTTATTTACATTGATGGACAAACCTGTCCAATTACAAAAATTGGCCAAAATAGATTTAATCTGTTTGGTAGCTTTAAGAGTGGCTTATGAGAAGATAATCACATCATCTGCATACAATAAGTGAGAAATATATGGTCCATTTGCACAAATATGAACTCCCAATGAAGCACCTCTTTGTTTAAAAGCATTTGATAATAGTTGTGCACAAAGAATGAAGAGATAAGGAGACAAGGGGCAACCTTGTCTAAAGCCACAATGACCTTCAATCCAATTTGAGAAGCTACCATTGATAGATATAGTGAATTTAGAATTTTTAATACATTCTAAAATCAGCTTAGAGAAGAAACAAGGAAAACCAAAATAACTTAAAGCTTTTTCCAAGGTAAGCCATCCCATGGAATCATAAGCTTATTCCATATCAACTTTAAAAGAAACAAAGCCTTTTTGAGAATTTGAAATTCTTAATTTGTGCATGACCTCTTGGGCTATTAAGACATGGTCGGACAAGGATCTACCTTTGATGAATGCCGCTTGCTCTTCAGAGATTAATTTATGCATGATTGGAGTCAATCTATTCATAAGAATCTTTGCCAACACTTTGTAAACAGAATTACATAAACTAATCGGTCTATAATTTGAGGGAGTTAGAGGATTACTGATTTTTGGAATCAAAACAATAATAGTCTCCTTCCATAAATGATCCATAATAGAGGTATCAAAAAACAATTTAATGGCTTTCCATAAGTCATCTTTTATAATAAACCAATAGGCTTTAAAAAAAGAGAAAGTGATACCATCTATTCTAGGGCTAATTAGGAGGGAGGATTATGTGATTTAGCCGTGGGTTTGAATGAGGGACCCAATTGGAAGGATTTTAATGTGTTAAATAGGTCTTAATTGGCTTAAATAGGTTGATTTGACCCAATTAAGGCTCGGGTTGACCAGGTAAATGGTTGACCTGGTCAACCTAGTCAATTAAGTCCAATGAGTAAAGGGATTGAGCCAAGCATAAGGTGGATTTGGTTTGAATTTAATTTGGGCTCCACATGGCTTTAATGGGTCAACCTAGGTCAACCCCAGTACTTGGATCTGAGCTCAACAAGGTTGGTCTGACCCATGTAACCCAAGGGGAGTAAGAGATTGAGCTAGAAGGTTTCAAATGGATTTGAAATCAAGAAGAGAAGGATTTGGGTCAACCAGGTTGACCCATGGTCTGGGTCTAGGCTCCACAGACTTGGTTTCCTTGGAATTGAATGGGAGAGGCCTTGGGGCCTGGCTTGATCAATTTGACCAAGTCAAATCCTTTGACCAAGGATTTGGATAAAAGCAAAGTCAACAGCCTTAAGTTGACAAACTTCACGCCATCCGGTATCTTCTCCTGAAAAAAGTTAATCAGCATATTGGTTCTTGGTAGTTTATATTTCATGTCACTGACTAGTTTAAGCCTCCAAAGTCTTCCTCTATGTTACATTATATATAGGTTGTAGTGATGAATAAAACCTCTGCCTGTTGTTTATTGTCATGTCAGTCCACGTCTAGTAATGAATCTGACCTGAATAAAATATTTTTCTTTTTTTCTGATCTCATGAAAGTATTAAAATATAAACTATTGTTATTACTTCTCTTTGATTTTGTCACACGGTGTATTTTGACGCAGGCATTGATCTGATACTAAGCACAGAAATTGTAAAGGCAGATCTTGCTTCTATGTTTCTTACAAGTGCAAGCGGAGCAGCCTTTGCCTATGAAATTTTGATTATTGCTACAGGTTCCACGGTAGGTTTGTACTTTATAGTGATTATCATCATCATTAGTCTTATCCTAACTATTTTGCATCAGTGTTATGTATATCATTTTTCATTCATTTCTTTTGTGTTTTATTTGAGGTATTAAATTTATTCTCTGAAAATTATTTTGTACAACTTCTATCAATTTAAGCCTAACTCTACTCATTTTTCTTCCTGGTATTCTACCTCCAATTTGATTAACTCATTTAATAGATATATTTTCTATCATTCGTTGTGCATTTTCATGTCATCTATATCCATTTTTAGTCATCATATCTTCAATAGATGCCACTTTAATCTTTCTTTTAACATAATTATCCATTAATTTAACATTGTTATTTTCTATAAATTCATCTTAACATCTTATTTCTGCCATGTTGAATTTAGATATCGATGATTTATCTTTTGACTCGATCAAAATGTTGATCCATTTTATATTGTTGCTTAATTACGATTTCATATAATTTATTTTTTAAGTCTCAATGAAATCATTTATCACACAATACTTCTCAGATATTTCTCCATTTTATCTTGGCTTGACTCTAAAAGTTATATATATATATATATATATATATATATATATATATATCACATGTGTATCACTTTATCTTCTAATAATATTAAATGTTAATAATTAAAATCATACCCGCTAAAATTATGTATCATATATTCAGTCTTTGTTCTAATAATTATATAGCCTCTATCTTCTAACAATATCACTCTATATAACAATATCACATACCATATTTTTTGTTTTTTTTCTCCTTTATATTTTGGTGTTCATTTTTTTAAAATATTAAATTATTGTGGATGCAGGTTATAAAGTTGACTGATTTTGGTGTTCAAGGTGCAAATGCTAATAACATTTTCTACCTGAGAGAGATTCAAGATGCCGATAAACTTGTAGATGCAATCCAGTTAAAGAAGAATGGAAAGGCTGTGATTGTTGGCGGTGGATATATTGGCCTTGAACTCAGTGCAGCAATGAGAATCAACAACTTCGATGTTACTATGGTTTATCCTGAACCTTGGTGCAGTTGAGTATCATTTGCTTGCACGAATCTTATTAAAAAAATTTCTAGGCTGTATTTTGCTTCAACTCCAGTTACTCTCCTATTTATGAGTTGTTACATTGTAGCTGCGAAATGAAACTATTTTAGGTTCAAGATTGAACTTATGTTTCTTTTCTTTTTCTGTTTTTTAGTTGTGGAGCCTAGTTTTTATCATAGGAATTAGAAGAGCGGGTGCATATTCGAGAATGATATCCAAGAATTTGTGATTATTTTTTAAGGGCGTTTTGAAAATTTTAGTATTTTCAGCTATCATAAATTTTTCTTTATAAAGAGGGGGCGACATTTTTTTTTTATTTTTTCTTTTTCTTTTTATTTTTATTTTTATTTTTTATTTATAAAGAGGGGGCGACATGTTATTTTTAAATCACAAGAATTGAGGTTGAATGTTCTTCATAATCAAATAATAATGAAATCTGCAACGACAACAATACAACATAGCTATCTATTAGTTGTATCTATATAAAATTTGTGTGTGCGTGATATCTTTTCAATTTTTTTTTTTTTTCTGATGGTTCTTCTATTACCCAACAAGTTTATCAAAGGTCTTAAAACCCCACTGATTTGTAAATCCATTCACATTGCCTTATGCAGTGCCTCGTCTTTTCACTGCTGAAATTGCTGCATTCTATGAGGCCTATTATGTTAGTAAAGGTGTTAAGATTATCAAAGGTACAGTAGCTGTTGGATTCGATGTTGATTTGAACATGAATGTAAGTTTTTGAGCGCATGGGGTGAATCAATGTTGAGGTGGTTATACAGTCCTTTTTTATTTTTTGACAAATTTTACCTAAATCAGGTGAAATCAGTGAAGCTGGAAGATGGAAGAGTTCTTGATGCTGATATTGTTGTTGTGGGTGTTGGCGGAAGACCTCTTACAACACTTTTTAAAGGCCAAGTGAAAGAAGAGAAAGGAGGAATAAAGGTTAGTTCAGTTCCTTCTGTATGAAATGTTAGCATTCCCTCTAATAGCAAAGATTTCTTTCAGAAGTATTAATGTATGGAAGATTAACACCGTACCTTATACTGATATATAAAAGCATGCATATTTGATTTGTGTTAAGCTATGGAGTCTGATTAATACCCCAAGAAAACATACCTTACATAGATTCAAACGTAAATTGATAGTTGCAAATTATTTTAGTAGTAGTGTTTTAAGGATTTTATTGTATATTGGGTTGTCCAATATATTTTTTTCCATATTTAGGGAGCTTGTGATTTATAGCTGTAAAACTCTACCATCATAATAAAATCCATAATGAATGCAACAAGGCCTAGCCATCAATTCAGTGAATCGATATAAAATTCTTGATATTTTTAATATGTCCATCATATGCTTTATTATTTTATTTTCTCTCAATAATCTTAATTAAGACTCGTCAAACTCCCAAAAAATGTTGCGTGTTGTTGAAGAAAATGTAGAAAATAAGAACACCAACTTTGATTCTTTTAACAGGTTTGTTTAAAGGGGTGATCTACTTTCTTTGAGTGACTGACTCATGTTACTCTAAAAAGTTTGCTTTTGTACTTCTTTCTCACCTTTGGCTTTGGATTACTGTTCAGATTAGGAGAAGGGAAAGAAACTATAAAATTAACGGGGATTAAAAGAGCGTCTTCAAATATTCACGCGGGAGAATCCCTAATGCTTTATACTTGAAATTTCAAATAGGTGTAGCAAAATGATTAATTAAAGAGGATTGATTTCTCAGATAAATGCAGCAAAATCAATTCGAAGAGATCATATTTTGTACAGAAACAATAAAATTAAATGTTTTTCTTAAAAGATGTGAAAAAAAAAAAAAAAAAAACTTACTTGAGGATGAAGTGATGATTGACTATTAGCTCAATATCTCAGCTGCCAGGAATGTCTTAATTTGTGGATCGTGATGTTCTTTAACATAAGATCTTTTTGGCAATTAGATGAGACTTATCGCTAAAAATAAACATAACATACAACAACAATAACATCAAGTCTTTGTCCCACTATGTGGGGTCGGCTACATGAATCCTTTTTCACCATTGTGTTCGGTTAAAAGTCAAATTCTCATTTAAATCTAATAAAGAAAGATCATTTCTAATAAATAAACATAACATGAAGAAGATAATTACACAGAATCCCCAGTCAGAGTCATTCAACTTACCCTCCTTATTAGTGGATAGGACTGACAAAGGGGTTTAGAGTCCTCCATGTTAGAGCCTGTTCATAGTTACATGGCTACAGTACCCGCCGGGCTTCTTTTTTTTCATTTTGTGAACGCTAAAATTCATTCATGATTTCTGGCTCTCTGCAGACAGATGGTTACTTCAAAACTAGTGTTCCCAATGTGTATGCTGTTGGAGATGTGGCCACATTCCCGTTGAAGCTGTACAAAGAAATGAGGAGAGTGGAGCATGTTGATCATGCAAGAAAATCTGCAGAGCAAGCTGTGAAGGTATTACTACAAAGCATTTGGAGAAAAATTGTATAGGCCAATATATGCTTAATATCAATCAATTATGATACTGTGATCATCTCAAATTAAAATACCTGACAATTCGCCCGCCCTTCTCGCTTGCAATTCAGGGAATCAAAGCCGTAGAAGCGGGCGAAACAATCGAGGAATATGACTACCTACCATACTTCTATTCCCGTTCATTTGATCTATCATGGCAATTCTATGGAGATAATATCGGAGATACTGTTCTCTTTGGTGACAATAACCCAACATCCTCAAAACCAAAATTCGGTACCTACTGGATTAAAGATGGTAAGGTGGTTGGAGCTTTCTTGGAATCTGCTTCTCCTGAAGAGAATAAGGCAATTTCTAAGGTTGCAAGGGTTCAGCCATCAGTGCTGGACCTGAGGCAGCTTCAGATAGAAGGCTTGCAATTTGCCTCTAAGATTTGAATTTATCTTCTTTCTTAAAAAAATTGTTTTCTTAATGTTATCTGTGGGAGTTAGTCGTTCTAAACGCGCACCTATTTGAGAGCAACGATGCTCACAAAAATGACTAACTTAAAAAAAAAAAGAAGAGAGTTTCAAACAAAAGTGTTATTTTACTAATGAAGACTGTTAATGAGTATGATTGGCAATGTCATGTTTAAACTTGGATGCATTCATAGTTAAGGAATGAGAAAGAAAATTTTTTCTTAAATTTTCAAATAGATTACGTTACTATATAGACCTAGAGACCTTATAAGCAAATGGTCTTTCTCCATGTCCAACAAGATTTGGATGAAAAAAAGTCTCTTCCTTTTGTAAAATAATGAAAGCATTTGTAAAAAGGATTTATTGCAGTGAGGTGCAAGTAGGGTCACAGTTATACAACATCATGGATATAAAAAAAGTGAGATCTCACATATGATCTAGTGAATTTTGTTTCAATTTATCAGAAATATATTAGTTTTGCATCAATGCACTTTAAGAAATTCTCCTCCTATTCAAGCCACTTGAAGGAGAACATTCCCCTGAGCTTTTGAAAAAGTGGTGATTGTTGATCTACAATATTAATCAAATGAATCATCCATGAAAGTTATGTCTGAACTTTAGGTCTTTGGTAGTGCTAAATTTACTTTCTTATTTCAAAATTGCAAAGAATAAATATGTTATGAAAAAAATAAAATTAAAGATAGTACTAATATGATTCAAATGTTGGAACCATACTTCAAAAAAACTATAAGATTTCTTATATTGATGTTAAACCATATAGTTGGACTATTCAACTACTTGAATCACGTCATGCTTCTATTGCCAACTTTTATTTCCCTCTCTGTTAGGCCGGTCCAACCTGGACCGGCCCAGCAGGTCCGGGTCTTCTCCAGGCGGAAGCGGAAGAAACAGGGGGGCTTGAGGGTGGGGTCCACTAGCAATTCAAACAAAATTTAAGTGATTTTGGAGGGAGAATGAAGGGTAGAGATGTCATTTTGCATTTGTTTTGAATTAGATTGTATTAAGAGGGAATTAACCTAGGTTTTAGGTTTTATGTAGATTATTCCTTGTGTGCTTGAGAATTGCTACGGGGGGTGGTCGTGGGGCTCTAGATTTCATCTAGAGAGCGTCGGGAGAGTGGATCCTCCACTCGAATAGAGGATCATTGTATCGGTTCGTTATTTTTTTGCAATCTACAACAATTTCACTCAATTTCTCTCAATTTTCTTCACGTTTGTTCGCTGTTTTTGTGTTTGGTGGCTGTGTTCCCATATAAAATAGCGGGTTACTTGTGATTTGGCTTAGATTCGATAGGAATCACTTGAAATATTCAAGTGGTACCTATCAAATTGGTATCAGAGCGAGATCCGGGCGGTGGAGGGCTGTTTTTTTCCACTGTTTTGCTGCCGATTTTTGCTGATTGGAAGGGAAAACTTGGTGAAAAAAAAAACTGCAGTTTCCAGTGGATCCGGAGGCATCTCTTTGGTTCCCATGGCATCTAAGCGGGTCGAAGTCTTGGAGATCGAGATGGGTCAATTTAAAGCGGATCTGGAGGAGAAGATGGCGACATTGAGCGATAATGTGGAAGGGAAATTCATAGCCTTGGAGGAGATGATGAAAAAGTTGTTGGAAGGGCAAGCAAGGGCTGTGCCAGCGGAGGAAAGAGGAGAAGGTAGTGGGAGCAAGGGTAAGGAGAAGGTGAATCTAGAAGAGGAAGAGGAGGTGGAACTACTTGACAGCAACGGAAGAATGCCACCTCGGGAGTCCATCAGGCGGGAAGAACATGACAGAAGGAGAGACTTCAGGGAAGGAAGAGAAGATGATTGGTGATGTCGTAGGCCCGACCGATTGGACCGGCCATGGGGGATCTATAACCACCATGGCGGGCACGAGGGGAAGATGGCTACCGGCGGCCAAGGAGGGAGGATGAGCCCCGATATGGAGAGAGAGGAACTTGGGAAGACCCCATAGCTTGGGACAGAGGAGGCCATGGGGGGAATAGGGCATACGGGGTGGACATGAGGGCCAAAAAGCTAAAAATACCAGTATTCGAGGAGGAAAATGTGGATGAGTGGATCCACAAGGTGGAGAGATATTTTGCAGTGAATGGCCTGATGGAGGAGGAGAGATTGATGGCTGTTAGTATGTGTTTGGAAGGGGCGGAATTTGCCTGGTTCAAGTACATGGATAAGTGGGAACCGGTGAGGACCTGGAGGGAATTCAAGGAGGCTATCATGGAGAGATTCAGGGGGGCAGCCCATGGGAGATATCAGAATAGTTCTATGCCCTCACTCAAGAGGGAACAGTGGAGGAATACAGGAAGAATTTTAAGAGTTTGGTGGGAGACATAGAGGGCTTATCAAACAGTACTTTGGGGGGAAACTTTATGAAGGGCCTCAAGCCGGAAATTAGAGATGCTGTGAAGGTCATGAGACTAAGAGACCTGAGGGAGGCGATGGAGTTGGCTCAGTTGATGGAGAACTAGAAGACCAACGCTTGAAATTGGAGGAACAACCACTCAGGAGGTCCCACCAGGACAACTACCACTTACTTGGCTCCAAAAGGGCCAAGCCCTAACTTCTCTAGAGAGAGTGGAAAGGAGAAGAGCGGGGTGACCAGATCTGTTGGAAGCTTCAAGAAATTGACTGAGGAGGAGATGCAGGAGAAGAGGGCCAAGGGCCTTTGTTCCAGATGTGAGGAGAAGTTTGTTCCAGGGCACAGGTGCAAGGATCGCGCCCTTCGATCTCTTACCGTCTATATAGACAAGGCGCCTGAAGAGGGTGATGAATCTGATGAGCAGCAGATTGATCCCCAGTTGGAGGTAGCTGAGGTCTCCCTCAATTCTGTGATGGGATTTACACCTAGCCATACTATGAAGGTGAAGGGGAAGATCCTTGGGAGGGAGGTAGTGGTTCTGATTGATAGTGGGGCAACCCACAATTTCATATCCACCCAGGTGATGGAGGAGCTAGGGATGGAACCTACTGAGACAAGCAGTTATGGGGTGATGATGGGGACAGGGAAGATTGAGTCCAGCACCGGGATCTACAAAGGGGTGGAGATGAGGCTACAAGAGATCAGGGTGGTAGAGGACTTCCTACCCCTGAAGTTGGGTAGCACAGATGTCATTTTGGGCATGAAGTGGCTACAGACCTTGGGTGAAACCAAGGTGAACTAGGGGATCATGGTGATGGAGCTAATTGTAGAGGGGAAGAGGGTGAAGCTGAAAGGGGAACCAGGATTGTCCAGAGCTGGAGTGTCACTCCGATCAATGGTGAAAATCATCCATGAGGAAGGAGGAGGATTCCTTGTGGAGTTGCAGAGCCTGGAGGAGCAGGAGGAGGGGGAGAAAAAGCCCATTCCCGCATTGGTTCAGCCCCATCTGCGGGAATTTGAGGACGTGTTCCAACCTCCGGTGGGACTACCACCTGACAGAGAGCAGGAGCACCAGATTATCCTGAAAGAGGGAGTATCCCCTATCAGTGTGAGGCCTTACAGATACCCTCAGGTGCAGAAAGATGAGATTGAGAAGTTGGTGGGAGAAATGCTAGAAGGAGGGATCATTCAACCTAGTGTGAGTCCCTTCTCTAGTCCAGTTCTGCTTGTGAAAAAAAAAGGATGGGAGTTGGAGGTTCTGTGTTGATTATAGAGCTCTCAACAAGGAGACTGTGCCTGATAAGTTTCCTATCCCTGTGATTGACGAGTTGATGGATGAGCTACATGGAGCAGCCTTGTTCACCAAGATCGATCTGAAGTCAGGCTACCACCAGATCAGGATGAGGAAGGAAGATGTACAGAAGACGGCCTTCAGGACTCATGAGGGCCACTACAAGTTTCTGGTGATGCCTTTTGGCCTCACCAATGCACCTGCCACATTCCAGGCCTTGATGAACCGGATCTTCAAGCCACACCTCCGCAGGTTTGTGTTGGTATTTTTTGATGACATTCTAATCTATAGCAGGACTGAGGAGGAACACCTAGAGCACCTGAGAGTGGTGTTGGGTGTGCTGAGGGAGCATCAGCTGAAGGCCAACTTCAAGAAGTGTGACTTCGCTCAGTCATGGGTGGAGTACCTAGGGCACGTGATATCCTAGGAGGGATTTGCTACAGATCAGTCCAAGATAGAGTCAATACTGGCATGGCCTCAACCCAAGACCTTGAAGGGGCTCAGAGGATTCTTGGGACTGACAGGATACTATAGAAGGTTCGTGAGGGGATACATCACCATAGCGTGGCCATTGACAGAGCAGTTGAAGAAGGACAACTTATGGGGGGAAGCAGCTTCAGAGGCTTTTGAGAAGCTGAAGAAGGCTATGACGACGATGCCAGTGCTTGCTCTGCCAGACTTCAATCAGGTGTTTGTGGTGGAGACAGATGCTTCAAGCTATGGATTGGGAGCAGTGTTGATGCAGAACCACAGGCCCATAGGATACTTCAGTCAGGTACTGTCGTCCCGGGCTAGGCTGAAGTCTGTCTACGAGAGAGAGCTGATGGTTATTTTACTGGCCATCCAGAAGTGGAGACCCTATTTATTGGGCAGACACTTTATTGTCAGGACTGATCAGAGGAGCCTGAAGTACTTGTTAGAGCAGAGGATGGTCACAGAGGAGCATCAGAGGTGGTTGTCCAAGCAGCTGGGATATGATTTTGAGATCCACTATCTACAGGGACTAGACAATAAGGCAGCGGATGCCTTATCACGATGTATGGGGGAGCTCCAGGGGATTATTGTATCAGTACCAGTACTGATAGATTGGGGAGCCATCAAAGAGGAGAGCATTCAGAATGAGGAGCTAAGGAAAATCAAAGAAGATGTGTTATCATATGGAAACAGCCACCCAGGCTACTCAGTTGTGGGAGAAAGACTGTACTATCAGGGAATGAGTGTGGTTCCAAGGTCTTCTATCGACATTCCCCAGCTGCTACAGGAGTTTCATGGGAGTGCCATAGGAGGGCATTCAGGAGTGCAAAAAACTTATAGTCGGTTAGCTGCTGAATTGTACTGGAAGGGGATGAGGAAAGATGTAGAGGAGATGGTGGCGAAGAGTGATATCTGCCAGCGGAGCAAGTACCTGACGATGGCACCAGGGGGATTACTACAGCCTCTAGCCATACCAGAGAAGGTTTGGGAGGAGATTACTATGGATTTCATTGATGGGCTCCCAAAATCAGAAGGCTACACAGTTA